TTTTATCAATGATTGTGTTTGAATTTTCATGTGTATAGTTTGTCCGTATTTAAAAATGTGTATCAATGTGTGGTATAGATTTTTTTTTTAACAATGATTTTTTGTGTGTATGTTTTTATATCTACACTTGTGGGTTTTACTACGTGATGTATTATTGTATAGTGTATGTGTATATCTTTCGGTGTGTTATGGTATGCACTTTTTATGTGAAATAGTGTGTTTTTTATGTATGTTAATGTGTGTTTTTATTATGTGTATTTGTGTGTGTAATGTGTACTTTTCTTTTATCAATATATTTGTACACTATGTGTATGTTTTTTTTGTGTATTAGTATGTTGTGTATTTTTCTTCTATCAATGCATATTTTGGTATGTTATGGAATGTGTTTTTTATGTGAAATAGTGTGTTTTTGTGTATTAATGTGTGTTTTTATTATATGTATCTCTAATGTTTTTATTATATGTATCTCTATGTATACTGTGTACTTTTCTTTTATCAATGTATTTGTACACTTTATGTGTGTTTTAATATGTATTAGTGTGTTGTGTATTTTTTTTCTATCAATGCATCTGTGTAGGCTTTTTTTTTGTGTGCTTTGTGTTTATCATTTGATGTTATTCATGTCCTTATAGTGGAGTTAATATTAATAGGAGCGCATACTCGGGAGAAAACCATAATTTTGCTCTCATTTTTTCCTGCCAAATGTATATCAGAAACTATACATTGAATTTTGAGTTTTCCCGCAAGTAAAATCTGATTTATATGTTCTTTTGTATACATTTGGTGATTAATTTTATATCAGCATATGCAAGTTATAGGTGAATATCCTGCTCCCTTCCCTTTCTTTGATGATTCTTCTTCGTTGAGATGTTCTTTGACATGTTTGTGGTTTGTAATTGGTGGAGTTAATGATTACTTGCACATACATGGTTACCTAGGTAGTGAGTTTTGTGTGTATAAATTTTATGTTTTATCAATGATTGTGTTTGTATTTTCATGTGTATAGTTTGTCAGTGTTTAAAAGTTTGTATCAGTGTGTAGTATGTATTTTTCTTTGATCAATGGTTTTTTGTGTCTATTTTCATATCTACACTTTGTGCGTTTTTCTATGTAGTGTATTATTATATAGTGTATGTGTATATCTTTTGGTGTGTTATAAAATATACTTTTAGTGTGAAATAGCGTATTTTTTTGTGTGTTTTTATTACTTGTATCTCTGTGTTTACTGTGTACTTTTCTTTTATCAATATATTTGTATACTTTGTGTGTGTGTGTTTTTCTGTATATTAGTGTGTTGTGTATTTTTTTTTCTATCAATGCATCTTTGTAGGCTTGTTTTTGTGGGCCTCGTGTGTGTGTGCATTGCATGTGTTTATCATTGGAGGTTATTCATGTCCTTGTGGAGTTAGTATTAATAGGAGCATACTGGGGAGAGAACCATAATCTTGCTCTCATTTTTTCCACCCACATCTATGTCAGAAACTATAGATTTTAAATTTGAGTTCTCTCGCGAGTAAAATTTGATTTATGTGTTCTTTTGTATTTATTTGGTTATTAGTTTTATATCAACATATGGAAGTTATTTATATATATGTCGACGGAGATGGAGACTTTGTGATTGATGTCGGTGATGGTGATAGGTATGGGTCACACGCCCATGTTTCTAGTAGTGATGTTATTTATTTGCTAAGCAATTGTTGATATGTAATTTTTGTGGTTGTTGCTTGGATCGGAAAGAATGTGGATACAGAACGGAGAAACAAAATAGGATTTAGAGATTGTTTGAGACCTTCGTGGTTTGCAATTGGTGAAAAAAAAAACCGACTACTGTCGCAGCCTAATTGACTTAGCCGGAAAATGGAAGTATCTTAGTGACACCTTGCACCAAGGCACTCCATGGGATTAAAGTAAAGTGAGTGCAGCTAAGGTGTTCGACAAAAGCCCTGGCACTATGCCCTAGGCTCTTGTCATTATGATTCCTCAGTAAAGAAGATTTTTGTTCATGCCCCTGGAGAAATCGTTCTAAGAGCTATTGGGTGCTCCGCGAAGGGGTACCAGACCGGTGACCCTTATGCCCCCTAGCCTTGGCACGCCCAAGCAAGGCATGGCCCTAGGATGCACTTGCATTGGTGGGGGCAAGGCGGACAAGGGAATGCGAGATAGATGCAAAGACTAGACAAATTGTGGGGACCCGTAGCTACAGAAGACCACATGGTTGAGTATAGTAGCACGTGGTGTGCTCAATTGAGGCAATGTTGGTGCCTGGCTTCGAATTGCATGGCATGGGCTTGACCCAGCATGCTTGATGGTTTGTGGGTAAGGTTAAGCTGCTGAATTGTGGGCACATGGCTGGCACATGACGAGTCAATGCATGTGACCAGGTAGTTATGGAAAGTTGTTGTGCATGAGTTGGTTAAAGGCAGGCAATTGAGGGCAGTTCAAGCCCCAAGCTGATCATGGGCGAGCAGTTATGGGCAGCTACCAAGTTAGGTGCTGAATTGGTGTAACCGTTTGCTACTTGTCGAGCAGAGAAGTAGCCTGGCATGGTAGTGGTGCTGGAAATCTACCATGCCTACGTTACTGACTGGCCAGTGGGCCAATAAATGCTAGGCAGTCGGGGTGTCAACTGCCACAGCCTTTGTATAAATAGGGGGTGCCATGAAAATTTGTAGGAGCCGAGAGTCCTTGGTCGGATTTGAGTTTCCTTGTATTTATATGAGTAATCAACATAAGGTATGGAAGTGTCTTCCCTGTAAATTCATGTGTTGTGCCTGTGTGAGTATGTGTCCCATATTTGTGTTTGTATGGCTAGTTGCTGAAGCAACGCCCTCACGGGTAGCCTCTGTTGCCAGAAAAGTTGAAAAACGAGTGTTACCCCGTGACAGTTTGGTATTAGAGCATTGAAAGATAAATCTATGGTGGGCGGAGTGATTGCTGATTGAGGGAAAGGGTGTGGCTTGTTTGGAGGACTTGGTTGGTCCCCCACAATCGGGTGATGCTGTAGCCATTTCTGTGCAGCTCAAGTTGTTGTACCAGCAGTCAGTCTTATGTGCTGTTCCAACAAGGTATCAGAAGACATGATCTTATGTGCTGGTTTCATTTGATCCAACAAGCTGGATGTCGAGAGGAGACATTGGGTCTCACTTGGGAATCTGTCTAAGCCTAAGGTGGAGGGTGGCCTAGGTATCAGAAGATTTGGGGATATGCAGGCTTCTTTCCGGATCAAGCAAGTGTGGGGTATTTTAAATGGGAAAGGTATTCAAGAGTAAGTTTTTGAGAGGAAAACATATGCTGACGTGCATTATTACTAAAGGGACAAAATGTTATAGGGAGTTGCAGCCTTGGTTTGAGTTTGTGAGTGCTCATTCTTGTATGATTATTGGAAATGGTGAACAGACATATTGGGTTCTCAGTTGAAGGAAGAGATTTTGCTGTCTGGAGTCTCTGTAACTGATAAAGCAGATAGAAGGGTTTGGATGAGCAATGCTTCTGGGGATTTTTTGATTAAGTCTGCATGGGAGCTAGTAAGGAGACATGATCTGCAGAATGAAGTAGCTAAGGCTATTTGTGGACAAAAGGTATCCCCTAGTGCTCAGCTGTTTGCTTGGAAAATCTTTAAGAATGCCTTGTCTGTAGATGATAGAGTTCAGAGTATTGGGGTTCCATTGGTAAGCAGGTGCTGTCTTTGCTGCAAGGATTCAGAGAGCATTTCTCACCTATTTGTTAACTGTGATTTTTCTCTATCTGTTTGGCAAAGGGTAGTTCTGTTATGGGATTTAAGCTCATTTCTAATGAGCCTCCTTTAACCAGACTGTTGAGGCTTGGTAGAAGTTTCAAGCTACAATCCTTAAGTCGTGGGTTAAGAAGGAGTGCCTCTATGCTTGTTTATTGGTCTCTTTGGAAAGAGAGGTGCAGGAGGAGATTTGAAGGGGTGCAACTGAGTGCTTATTCACTGTTTATGCAGATCTTTAGTTCCCTTAGGTATCAGGCTTTTGGATTTGAAGCCCAAAAGATCAGATTATGCTGCTGAGAAGTATTTGCTGCAGAATTGGAGTGTGTTTGTGAAATAAAAGGTGCTGATGAGGGCAGTTTGGGTGAACTGGTTTCCTCCTCCTGCTGATATGCTTAAACTGAATGTAAATGGAGCTGCAAAGGGCTTTCTTTCTGGTGGTGGCATGATCTTAAGGAATCCTGAGGGGCACATGGTGATAGCTGCTGCTTATTTTTATGGGGAAGGAACAAACATGCAAGCAGAGTGTTTTGCTCTGCTGGATTATCTGGGTGCTTACAGAGTTCTGATAGAAACTGACTCTCAGATTCTGGTGAGGATGATTTTGGGAACAGCACAAGTTGCTTGGAGGTTTTGGGGTGTTATGGAGCAGATTTTTGGGATACTTAGGAGGTTGGATTACCAGATTTGCCATGTGTACAGAGAGGCAAATGCTATGGCAGATTTTCTGGCCAATTATGCAGTCCAGTTGAGGTCTTCTGTTGACCTTACATTGGCAGAACCATTTCCTTTGGGGGGAAGACTTGTGTGCTGCAGCAGGATCAGAGTGGCCTGCCAGTAGTATGGAAGAAGATTTCCTTGGTAGGTGTTTAATTTTTTTTGACTCAGCATTTTATTAATCACTAAAAAAAAAAAAAAAAATTGTATGTTTTAGGCCCAGCCTTTCGTTGGCCTACTTTGGGTACTGAACTAGTTCTAACTCACAGCCTAGTATGCTTTATTTAAGTTAGTAAGATGCTGCATGATTTTTTGTCATATTTTCTTTTAATATTGCAGGAAAGGCTCCATATTCTAGTGTTATAACAAATGGATTTGTACTGGATGAAAGAGGATTAAAAATGAGCAAATGTTTGGGTAATGTTGTAGATCCAAAAACTCTAAATTGAAGGAGGGAAGAACCCTGGGGTTAGTCACTGGTCACTAGTTATATTATATCATCACACCTCATTTTCGCTGAATGATCAATTGTGTTTCTATTTTTTGTTGACAGGAAGCGCTTTCCTATGGAGCTGATGCCCTGATACTATGGGTTTCAAGTGTTGATTATACAAGTGATGTCATGGCTGGGCCTCAAGTCCTCCGTCAAATGTCAGGCATATATAGGATGGTGTGAGCAACGTTGCGATTTCTTTTGGCAAATCTTCATGATTAGAAAGTATTTCAAGGTTTCTGTCAATCATAGACATTGAGTTGACACCATGCCCATCACTTAGATTTTCCTTACATACACCAGAAGTCATTTTAGTTGTTGTTTCTTGTTATCAATATCATTCCTGGAAATATATGAGAAAAACTCTCTCTCAGATTACAGACACACAAACTTGTATTGAATTTTAGTTCACTGTTTCATCCTCTTGTCCGATGCATCATTTGCAGGTTAAAACTGGGCAATGTTTCTGATTGGTCTATATGGACAATGATCCTTTGTGTAGTTCGTTATCTCCTCCTTTAGTTTCTGTCATTTTATGATTTATTTTTGCAGGCTGATTATGCTGTTTCTTATGATGATCTTCCCACTATTGATCAGCAAATGCACTGCTGAATATGAAATTGTATGTTTATGAGTTTAGGAAGTGATGAGAAGATCTGAAGACATTCATAGGCTCAGTGATCTGTGCCCTGCTGAATATGTTTTTGCACGTCAGTCTGATCCCAAACTCATTTCTGGGTTTTTCTGTCTGATAATGTATTTCTCTCTTCTCTTTTGGATTGTTAGGAAGGATAATCGAATCCAATTACCCTGCCATCCATGGGATACGAGCCCTGCATTAGCCAACATATATCACCAGGCCAAGCCATAACTTATCTTGTTATGGGTTTTAAGTGAGGATGAGTTGGTTAGTTTTGATTCAAATTTACTGATTGACTCTACAATCAAAGGCTTATTTGATGTGCCCAATGGTGGAATTTAAATAGCTGTTTACCGACAATAGTTTGCTTTTTATAATTCAATGTATTTATACCTGGTTGCATCAGTTTACCATCTTTGCATTAGCCAATCCTGGAATAGAGTTGGCTAGACTTAACAGTGTTTGCTTGTGTGTATTATCCCCATGTTTGAATAACTAGCAGCAGACTAAAATTCTTAAGAGATCTTATTGACTGAGAAAATTATTTCTGAAAGATCTAAACTTTGAGTCATAAAGTGAACACTGAACAGAGCAGACAATTGCACATGAAGTGAACATTTTGAACTCTGCTCTCATTTTGTACAACAGCCATTTTACTATTAATAAAATCTTTGTTTTTGATAAGTCGTTGCATGCTACTTGTATTCTGATAAGTTGTTTCTTGCTGCATGTATTCTTGCATCCTGTTCTACCTCTGGTGTTAACAGAATCAAGCAAGTGAGACAAGGTATTACTGATATGTTCTGACAATATTGGTCATAAAATGTGGTGTTTGGTTATATTTGAATTGTTAGCAGAAATTACCAATTTTACTTCCTGCAAAAAATTATTGTGTTTCTCAAGGTGAATAAGTTGGCATGTCTTTCATAGCCTTGCTGGTTATCTTCATGACGGTGGTCTTGTCCTTGATCGCAGTTCACTTGCCTTAATAGTCATACCATGCCTTGTTGATCAAGTTTGGCAATTGTTTATGAACTCTATAAGAGTTTTTACGCTACTAGCTGATCAAGTATCTTTTCGTGGTTTGATGAGACAAGGGTTTGAATAGTTTAGTCACAGTTTGGAATTCAGCTGGGCTGGACCTTGTGAATTGATTCCTGACTTCCCATTGGAAGATGCTTCCAACTGCATCTCGTACACTTGCTTGAATAATGCACTAGTCATGTCTCAAGTTGGGGGATGCATTTCTTTGCCTCGAGGCTAGTTTCTCATCTTCATGGGTTGTTATATGTACCAAAAGTTGTCCCCAGAGGCCGTGCCATGAGACAGAATGTTAGGGGATGGGTTTTGACACGATCTGAGTGATTGTAAGGATGGTCCACTATCGAAGGTGGATCCCATGGATTAAATCTAAATAATCCTTGGAAAGGTTTATGTGATTGTGGCTCCTGGCCGCTGGTTGACTGCAAGATGAAGGGTTTGATAAAGTTCTGCTAATAAGGAAAGAAATGCTGTTTTGGAAGCCTGGTAAAGTGGTCAGGCAGTTCCATAGGTGAACCACAGTGTAAACTGTTTCCAAGTGATCATACTTTGCCGGAATCAGCCGTTAAAACTTGTACAGTTCATGTATTGCAGCTACATTCTTCGTTTCTTTGGTGGATTTCTGTATGATTTCCTAACATTGTTGATTGGAGATCATAAGCAATGCATGTTCCTTGTTCATGGTGGTTGATATGAAATATTGGATGATTAATTTTTTTCCCTTCTAGGGTTTGATGTATTTTCTTAATCTTGAATAATAAATAAACCAAATTTTCCAATAAAAAGATTGAATCCTCTGTCTCTGTGATTGGGTTTTTGTAGGCTCATCTCCAATCAATCTAATCCTCTAGCTTATTAAATCAAGAATTCTTGAATGCCAACAAGAAGGCTTGCAGTGATCATCTTTCAGCATCTCCTGTCCTGGAGATTCATCTTTCCTGAGAAAAATGAGCCATTTTCTTTGATCTTATTGTTTTGCCCAACATTCGTGGTACATCCTTACACTTGATACAAAATTATATCAAGGGTATATCCACTGTGAGAGAGGGGATTCAAATTAAATCGTTCAACTCATCACGTATCACACTTTGTTGCCAAGATAAAAACGTGGCTCTCGTCACCACGGTATTTATAAGAACACTTGTGTCAACTCTAAAACTCTCATGCATGCTGAATTTCGGGGGAGGTGTACTATTAAATGCAATTAGATAAAAAAAATTATTAAAAATAAATATAACAATAATTTCTTGTGAACTGCTAAACGACTTACGTTAATATGATATATTAATATTCGTAGCACGCACATCAATCACTTGCACCTGCGCAGCCTTTCAAAACATGACAAATTATATAACTCAGTTTTGACCAAATTATGATTATATAATATGATGCCAACCTCCACTAATATATTGTAGTTCTTACTTGGAAATGTTCAAGTATGAAAATCTAGTTCCTAGATTTTTTCTGTTCAATACAAAATCTTGGGCAACCCCACATCAACCACTATAGCATGCTTTTGTGCCATGGTTGGTTCAAAGTATTGATCGATATCTTATATGATTCGGTTGAATTGTATCTATGTGGGTGTGTTTTTTGTTTTAAGACTAATATATATTTCACGTAAACCACTAATCTTACTCAACAAAAAGGTGACTCATAGATGTTTCGGACAAGGCACCCTAGTCATCCAAATTTTGATTATCGAATTGAAGTATATCGGATGATAGTATTTGCAAATGCCACTAAATATTTTGAATCTCTCACTCTGTCCAGCTTACTTCTTTTATCTACCATTTTGTGAGCAGAAAATACTATTTGGATCTAAAAATCTGATATAATTTGCTGACCTAATAATGTGGTTTTGTTGAAACCATTGGATAGACACCAACCATTGAAAAATCTGGAGGGATCATAGCGATTGGTTGGATTGACTTGCTTGGATTCAGAGAGCATTCTCAAGTACTCTCTCTCTTTTCGCATTTTCTTATTTCTCTGCAATTGCTTGAACTGCTCCTGTAGAAGAGCAAATGAGGAATGCATGAAAAAGGTTGCTCTGCCTTTTCATCACAGGAAGAAATGTAACCTGCAGATGAGGGTAGAATGCAAGTATTTGTTGAGCCCTCTCATGTTTTTTATATGAAGTAAAGGAGAGAAGAGAATCGGCAGCTGACATGCAATGTCCAAGACGGTAAGTTGCAGGGCTCCAATCTTTGGTGTGTGGTTTGGTGGAGATATGAAGAGAGAGGCAAATGAAGTTCAAAAAGGTTGGGAAAGAAAGTCTAAGGGGGGAGGTGGAAGGTAATGTTTGGAAGGGCTTATTTGGTGGAATAAATGGATGAGTGATTCACTTTCGGCTTCCGCAAAGAAGTGTTGAGCTTTGGAGAAGATGGTGCCTTTTTTCGTGGGTGTGTTTTGGAGGGATTTGTTTATTTTTTTCATTTGAAACATTCTCTCAAATCTCTTGATGGAGAACAGGGAAAATAGAAGAATGTGAGAATGCGCAGACGAAAAAACGGTTGGAAGAGGGAACAATTTTAGAGTTTTGATATTTTTCTTCTTGTCTGATGGATTGGAGCAAAAGGGAACCTATCAAAAGGTACCTCCCACATCCCATCTCCATGTCTTTTTCCTTTTTAGTGGTTTTCCAGTCGTGTGTTGAATATATTACATGTTTTTTCTTATTTGAGATTGTGATGATCTAATAAAATGTAATAGAGATTTAAATTGGATTCAGAGATTTGAAAAATGCTCATTCACCCAAAAGATATAAAACGGGTTGGAAGTTCAGAAATTAACCTCTTCAAAATTGGAAGTATAAGATTACCCAACATTTTATCTCTTTTGATTTTGCTATAAGCAAAAGTTTTATACATTGGATATATCTTATATAGTGGTAATAAGTGACTAGAAAAAATAAACTTGGCCCACATGCGTATAGATTTTAACTATTGTTTTGATATGGTAGTATTTAGAGAGTGTCATTCATACCAATGTCTCAGTGGAACTTTCTAACTTCTTGTGCTCCATTATCAAAACTGGTGACAAGCAAAAATTAAATCCTTGGTCCCCATTCCTCCCCAATCGTGCAAACATTATGGGTCATATTCATCAAAATATCGCATATGAAAAAGATTGGAATATGAAGAAAAGAAATAGATCAAAATAACTGAAGAGACTCAATTACTTGTGGCACTTTTAAATTAATAAGATATATGATCAAGTGATATAATATGAAAGAAATTTTAGGAATCACATATTAAAATAGATCTCAATTCTAAAATGAGCACTATGAAGAAATTGAAAGAATCATCATATATTAAAATAAATCTAAATTCAAATTTGAGTAAGGTGTCAATTCGTATTGCGTTGTGTCATTAACATGTGTATAATTCATGTCGTGTTCATGTCAATACTCATTGAAAAAAAATCTATTAGATAAGTGTAAAGTTTTAATCGAACTCATTTATTATGCGTATTTATCAATCATGTTAATTTTAGAATCATATCATATTAAGTTCCTAATGATGAGTGAGATTGACACCCTAAATCTAAATACCGACTATAGTTCTATTAGAGTAACTAGGTCTCAACAACGAGTGGGGTTGAATTGGATTGATCCATGATTTTTCAGCAGATAGCCTGCGCCATGTACAAACCTTGGTGGGCTTTGACTAGTCAATGGGCCAGGCCCAATCTGCATGCAAAAAAATCTAAGTCTCATGGGCCGACTTTTTGGGCCAAAAGTTGGCTAAACACAGATCGAACCTTATGGCTCGCTTTTTGGGCCTAACACGGGTTATTTTTTTTAAAAAAAAAAATTTATGTAAAAATTAAAAAAATAATAAAAAAAAATCAAAAAGTTGGATGTGAAAAAATTAACAACTTCTATCAAATGTTCCAACTCCTACTTCTTCGAATTAACAAGTTATAA